TCACTCCCACCAAAGCACTTAACATGCAGTATAAGTCAACACACAAACAAACAAACAGATGCACACACTATTCAAATAAACACGCAGACGCCAAGGGATGGGTGGAAAGCTAAAGAACACAGGCAGGAGGAGAGCATCACTCAGAGAGCCATTAACCCCTGGCTTCCAACCAGAACAGTGAGCAGGCATCCTTTAAGTACATGTTAAACATAGCTAGTCTCTGTGTGTGTGCACAAGTGATTTATGTATTACTGCTCTGTGTCCAAGTGTATCTATGCAGTTATAAGAAAAGGCTCGTGAACCCTGTGTAATTACCAGGATTTCTGCATTGATTACTCATAAAATGTGATCTGAGCTTCAGCTAAGAGACAGTTATGTACAAACACATTCTCAGCAAACAGCTATACTATTCATTTCTTTATTCAAACGAGGAGTAATAATTCACAGTCCCAGCTAGACACTTTAAAACCCGCCAAAAATCTATGTTCACTGTGTTTTTATTTAATATTTAGAGCAGCACAGACCACCCAGACACTCCACAGTACGCAAGGGACAATGTACTGGTATGACAAACATTAATCTGCTTTGTAAAAATAAAAATGCACCAAACTATTTCCACACGTTGGAAGGAGCATCAAGTTTTATCTCTTTCTTACTTTGGAGTCTAAACCTTTTGCAATCACTGAGGGAAAAATGACTTCAAAGCTGAATCACAAAAGTTTTAGAGGAGAACGTCAGGGCAGCAGCCAGGTTGGCTAACGCAACACGACAACGATGAACCAAAGCACACAAGCCAAGAAAAAAAGAAAACGTGGTTAAACCAGAAGGGGGGTGGTCTGAGGAAGAATTCCTAGAAATGTTGATGAACTGAAACAGTTTTAGAGGGAGGAACGGTGCAAAATACGCTTGTGCTACAGGAAATTCCTGACAGAGGCTGATGCTGCTAAGTGAGGTGTTACATGCTATTATGTTCAAAAGGTTTACTTACTTTTTGTAACCCACACACTAAGTAATTACTTAATGTTTTCAGTAAACATATGAAAAGTATAACTCAAGTGTGACTTACAAGCTACTATTATCCACACATTCATATAGCGCTTTTTAAAATGGACTTTTAAGCAATTTATCTGCCAGAGTCAATTTAGAATCACCAATTAATTTAACATGCAGGCCTGATGGATACTTTAGAAGTCTTAATAGGTCAGATATAAAGTCTGATTAGTCAACAAGCATAAGATTTGGATGAACTAGTGCAGGACTGTATTATCTACAGTGGCTAGCACAACAGTGACCCTGTAAAAGCTGGGGTACATCTTGTGCGTGTAGTGAATACTGCTCATGTATCATGGTTCTCTCTGTGTTACTCTCCTGTGTGTTACTGAAGCGGTCATGCATATTAACTTCAAAGTGTCTAAATGACAAAATGCTCGGAGAAGCCACCAAAGCTACGTATCGCATGTCTGAAAAAGGCTTTGAGTGTTATTAGTTTAATCAAATTGTCTGTAATTGTGACTTTGGTGGGGATCGGGATACATTTTATTAGCTGCTAATTTAGAAATCCTGGCAATTTCAAAAGAGGCTCGAACTTCTTCCTGCAACTGTATGTCCATGAGAACATTGATCTACTTCAAACCTGAGTGTTCAGGAGACAAAACTGATTGATTGTCTTCGTTAATGAATGAAGGTCACAGCAAACTACCTAAGCCTATTTAACCCTTCAGACAGAGTGGTCCTTGGACTGCTTCCTTGTGCAGAGAAGTGCATCCCCAGGAGAGGAGCGCTAGACTAAACACTCCGTCCATTCAGCTGCTCCCCTTCTCCCCACCGACAAGAGACGGACGCCTGACAAGCACTCCCAGAGAAAAACCTCACTTTTTCCACCAATTATAGAAAGCAATGCGGAGTGGGGGAGGAGGCAAAACTTCAAAATATTATACACACTGGCATTTGGCGGAGCGCATTGAGCAACCTCTGTCAGAGAAAGATGGGCTAATTTCAGGGCACCCTGTGCCAACACAAACAACTGTTCTGGATTGCTTTCATTGTCAGCACTTGAGGTTTGAGTCACATTTTTTCAGCGCTCCGCAGCCAATTTCTCTTTCCCCTATTTTTCCCCCCATATGATTTGTCCTTGTCCAAGATCCCAGTCAGTCTTTCATCGCCTGCACAGTCAGCGCTTAAAAAGTATTCTGGTAGAGAACAAACTCAGATCCAGATGCTCATCTACATACGCAAAACAAAAATAGAATATCTTTTTATTTTGGAACCCCCAGCATTTGCCTCCAAGAGCTCATGCACAAAAACTTATTGTAAGTGTAATGTAAACGTGTCTTTGAGGTGCTGTGTATTGTGATGTATCCATTTGTTTGAAGGTTATGGCTGTCAGCTGGCGGCAGGAGTTTAACAGCTACTACTCGAGTCCCACAGTGCTGTGTGCTGGGATTCATATCGCAGCCATGTCAATGTAAACATCACATGTTACTGTTTGTGTCTCCAAAGCGGTATTTACTTTTACTTTGATTTTGTTTATTAAAGGCTTTTACTGTTCAACATAAAAGCAAGGAGCCATGGCAGGGCATTTGGAGTACAGGCTGTAGCGTTACATTCACAGTCTACTCATAACTCTGACAGCTCACGCACAGCTCTGGGTATGTGCCAGTCAAAGAGATGGGCAGCTCTATACTGCCATTATAGAAAACCTCACACAGTGGGAGTCACATCCTCCGTGGCAAATCAAACACACCTATGCACGTCAGGACAGGAGCGTTTGTAGAGCGCGATATGTATATGTGAGCGGAGAGGGTAGATGCTGAGGTGGAAGCTGAATGGGCACTTTTGGAGGCCCCTGAACATGCATCCTATAACCAGGCAGCTGTCTTTAATATAAGAGTCCACTTCAACTCATATTTATTCAGGTACAGCTGACAGAGAAGGAGACACGGTGAAAGAGGCGTGGCTTTTCTTTTTCCTGGCAGACGTGCTGCGCTCCTGCGGTTTTTTTGGGGGGCAAAGGGACAAGACGAAAAAGACAGACACTCAGAAGGGGGGTGGGGGTGCAGAAGAAAAGAGCAAGTTGACATAAAAAAGGCATGGCTCCACTCAGTCCTGTGTTGACTGGACATCCTGTGCAAAAGACGAGCCCTGGAGGCCCCGGGGCCACCAGGGAGGGGGAGGGTGTGTGTATGAGCTCGATCCTCCAGTTTTACTTGATGGCTGTGTCCAAGACAAATCACCAGTGGAGCTGCTGTCATAGTGAGCCTTGACCAAGACAAACAGCCGTGTTTTAAAATAAGTACCTGCCCCCTTCACAGGCCCTTCTACCTCATCCACACTCAGGCACATCCACATCTCGTCACACATTAAAGCAAATTCCCTTCACAGGTCATTGGACTGGAGCTGTAGTCCAACGCTCTACACAGGGGACTCACTTTTCACTCTCTCAACGCTGTCTGCATTCCCTCTCTTGTGCATGCACACTTGTGAATATTTACCACATCACACGAGTTCCACTGTGGCCAAAAGGCCGGGACTCCAATAACAAAAGGTGAGTGTGTGTGACATAAAGCCTACAGCACATTTACGGGGCACCCTGTGGGCGCGTGTGTATACAGGCTTGATCGTCTATGTACATCGCAAAATTTCCAACTTAGCTGAATCACAAACTGCCAGCAGCGCAGAAATGTCAGCACTATTCCCTTCTTTTACTTAACAGCACATTGCATCTTGGGAGTTGTGGTTTGTCTGTAGGGGGCTGTCTGTGTCGCTGCCTGCAGCCTGCACCAAAGGGACTTGTGTTCTTCACTGAACTGAACAGAGCCTCATTTATCTCTGTGGCAGAGTCCTTCCTCTCCAGCATCGGTCCTCCTGGACCCCTGAACTGCTGACACTAGGGGAGGTGGGGCTGCTTTTCCTCCTTCCTCTGAGCTCCAGCATGCGGCAAAAATTGTGAGATGTGTTTCATCTGCATATTGATTAGCCTGGCCAAAAGAAGTAGAACCTCAGCACTTCACTGAATACATAATGTAAACAAGCGGCAGTTATTCAGCTTAAACTCTCCTGAAACGTTTCACCTTCAGCGTGTGCTTTTCCAGGTGATTGTGCAACAAAAGTCAATGGCAACTTTTTCCTGAACAAAAAAGGAACAATAAAACTAGAAATTCTTTATCCTAAACACGCTGACATTATACTTAATATGCACATCTCAGCCAAATTAAAGTTACTGCTAGAGTGGAGCACTGAGCTTGCCCCTGAAATTAAAAAGCTATAACCCCACTTTGCTTCTGTCACCCAATAAACACAGGCCGCCCTCAACGTGTGGGCAGGCTATAGTGCCAGCCAGTTGCAGTGCAGACGGCTGGGCGCTGGGTTGGCTGATAGATAGCTTACATTCGGTGAGGAGTGGACCAATGGCGTCGTGGATTGATTGGCCCAAAGGGGCCGTCGGGGGAAAGCACTTCCTGTGTGTTAATGGACGCTCCTGCAGATGCACTGTGGCGGCTTGTGGCAGGGTGATGGCTGTTATTCCCTTTCCCTCCTCCCTTCCCCGCCCTCACTTTGCTTTCACTCTCCCAGTTAATCAGAAGAGAGTCAAGATTTTCCAAGCAGACCTCTCATCTGGCAGCTACTCACTACACCTACAGCAAAACCTTTTCAAACATAATAATTTAAATGAACTGCAAATACTTTATCTTATCCGTCCCAAGATTTCCTGTAATTTCCTGTAACTGACATGGAACTATAAATTAATGGCATCATTCTTGAAAACATTTTTAATTCATTACTTCTATTTTAGAAACAATAATCCAGCAGTATTCTGTGTATAAACTGGTAATAAATTCATCTTGTATATTTGAACAATTTCGACTATGGCATAACTTTATCTTTATTCATACCATACGGCCATATTGCTTAATGGTTTCCAGGAAATTTCTCAAGAACTTAAAGAAAATCCACATTTTCAGAGTTCTTCAGACTAAATGAGACTGAGTAAATAATTGTACCCGAGTCTGCCCAGCTGCTCCAGTTCAGGCACCGGGGGTCCATAGGTTTCAACTTGGAGGGGTCTGTAGTGGTAAAGAACGTCTTCTATCTTGGTAACAGGCTGGAGAGACACCGTCTGCCGCTGAAAGAAAAACACAAAAGAGGCACGTCATTCAAGACGGGAAATAATCGGCATTGTCTCGGCGCGTCGTGCAACCCTGGAAACTTTATGGCTATGGCGCAAACACACAAAAACTGTTTGGAATACGGTTAAAGTCAATCAGTCCGCAGCATTAGCACCCACTGGTTCTTGACAGACTGGTTTGGAAATAGAAGTTCTGTCTGACAACATTTTCACTTTCCCCCGGCAGCGGCGGTTTGGAGGAGAAACTGAGGCAGGACAGTGACTGAACATGTTTTTAGCGGTCAAATAGTTTCGGAAACTGAACAGGACAAAAAAAAAAAAGAAAAAGGATGAGAACATCGTTCAGGAAAATTGTTGTCGGCCAAAATGTAATTCCTGATAACAAAGCAAGTGTACTTTGGTTCAAAAATGGCTATTGTCTTGCTCCATAAAACCACCAAAGAGAAATCGGCTGATAATGTTTAAATGCAGTGTGGAGGAAATGCTTTGTTTGTGGGTTGAGTTGTGATTATTTTAGCGTGGTTTCACCTAAAACTATGTCCATCAAAGCTGCCTCCTACTGAAATATGTTCAAATTACAAACGCTTATAAATTTTATAAAAGTTATTTAACATTTTTTTTTAATCCAATCAATAATTACTCCGAGCTGAAATTTCAGTCAGACTACTAATGCTCTTGACCGTGCAGATCGAGTGAGAAATACGAGACTTCTTCGGGATACTGCAGCATTGTTCGATTTGGGGCTCTGCCATCAAAGGGGAATTTCCACACAGCATCCGACCGCTATGTTTTCTCCAGCATTAAAGTAATGAGACTCATAAGACAAGCCTGGTTCATGAAACAAACCTGGAATTAAAAAGGATGATGTTTAAACAAACATGAACTATTTTAGAGTGCAGCGAAGGACCTCAGAGACAAAGGGGAGATAAAAAGATAAGAGAGAAAGCCAAGAAAAAAAAAAGTAGTGGGGGGAGTATAAACAACAGAACACAGAGGGGAGTCGATGAAAACCAAACTAAACGAGTAACATGTGCCCTGCGGCCTCACACTGCCTGCCTTCACACATGCTTTGGCCCATATGAACGCACACACGGGGAAAATAGAGCAACCAAAACCTGAGCTGGAAGTTACAAAAGCACCAAAGACATGAGATGACAACACATGCAGAGTTTCCTTCCAGGTCCCAATAAAGCTACTTTCATATGTGCACTTTTCCCCCCCCCATTAATCTGACAGCATCTGAACTGGTCCGCTTCATGTCTGAATGACAAACTTATCGCATTCAACAGTGCAAGTCTGAACTGCATGCAGTCACATTAACAGACAGGCACGCACAAGATTACGTCGTTTAGCTTAAGAAAGACGCAGCCAAAAGAATTTGAGAATCTGTACATGCTTTTGGAGATGCAGCAGCCTCAACGCAACCTTTACACAGAAATTCTGAATAAAGAGGTTTTTGATATTTCACCACCTCCACCTCATCATCTTGGCACAGATAAACAGGATGTTGTCGCGCGCCTAAATGCTGAAAACGGACAACTCAGAGCAGTGCAGAACGATAAATGCAACCCTACTGAAAGATGTTCACCACAAAGAAAAGTGGGAGAGATAAGTAACAACAGTTATTGAAATACAGAAAGACAACAGATGAGTACAATACTTGGCCACATTCACATTACACCTAAAGGATGTGCTCGGCCAAGAAGCTCACAGCACAGTTTCTGTGCTGATGTTAATGGCAGAGGAGGTTTGAGCTCTGCATGTACCGAGTTAGCACAGCATTGCCGTCTTTTTACATCCTTTTACACACATGTGGCAATGGGACTGAAAAATGAAGGTGTGTGGACCAAGACTTTTGTCTACGTAGTGTATTTTGCATTTTAATTTTTAAATTTCCTGCAACTTATTATAAAATACACTTCAAAAATAAATATATCTATCCTGACAATTATTTAACCACCATTCATTCACATCCGACCACATTAGGCCAGCATCATTTTTCCCTTACGATCCATAAAATAATCCAGATATTGAATTCATTATGGGCTAACTGTTAATAAAATAAAAACAACCCCATATTACATTTACCTATAGGAAGTTAAACAGATGGATCTCGTCTGTTTCACGAAATCCTGCTTCCCAGAATAACTTTCAATTATTTTAACAGAACGAGTCTAAACCTGTTGCATTCAGCTGTGGTTTACACATGAAGGTGTGGGTGGCAACGGAGATAAGTTGCAGCACATTAACAGCAATAAAACAGCAATAAAAATTTTAAAAGTAGGTTTTTTTTTCACAGAAGAAATTATGAACGCTAAATATCAACATACAAAACAAAACATTTCCTGTCAGTTAAACAATATTTTTCTCTTCTTTCATCAAGTTTTTTTTTTTAATTTATATATATATTTTTTTATATCACAAGATCACAAGAGATACTGTTCGACTGCAAGGGATGCCAAAAAACTGCTGGGTATCTGTTCTTGGCCAGATTGTCAACTGTAAATTCCTATTATATGCGAGTAAAGTAGAAAAAAATATATAATATATATTTGCATTGCTAGTGTATAAACGCTGTTTCCTTTAAAACATTAGGCACACACTTCTCCATGGTTTTCATTCAACCTTTCACCCTGGAGGTACCAGTGCTCCGTTATACCATCCTATCCATTCATCCAACGCAGAGGAGCCCCACCACAGGCTAATGAAATCCAGACCAATGAACGCAATCCCAGTCACTCTCACTCTCTTTTGCACCCTTTCAGACTGTTCATCCATCTTCTTTCAAACTTTCAGCACTGTTTAACTCCCCTACTGCGCACTCAAGGAGATGCACTGGGACAAAGGGAAGGTGGAAGGAGAAGCAGAAGAAGAAGAAAACTCCTCAGTGGTGGTGTGGTAAAGAAAGAGCAGCAAATTGGCAGTTGCAGATGGCTGAAGAGCAGTAAATCAGACCTTCTTCTCTTTTTTTTTTTTTTTAAGTGGCAGACACAACAGACCCAGCCCCCAATCTGGGGAAATTTCTTCTACATTCCTCTGCAAGGGCACCTTGAAAACTGGCACAGATGCATCAGCACCCACAAAAGCAGCCTTTAAAGATGTCCACGCAAACATAGCGACTTCTAATTATATTTACAGAAATGTGTAAATGAATGACTTGTAGTACATACAAAATGGTTTGAAAGAGAAAAAAACTGAATGAATGCCCATAATGTAGAGCCGTGACCCCTCAGGACTGATTTCTCCTACAGCTAATACCACTGCTGAGGCTTTAATCATGTGCACATCAAGTCAATGTGACTTAGAGTATGAATGCTGTTTTCTAAGTCCTTCAGTTAAAGACAACGAGAGAGCGAGAGAGAGCGAGAGACCCCCAGCCCGACCCAGCAGAGCAGAAATGGCTGAGGGACTAAGGGGCTATTGAAACAACGCCCCAGCAAGAGCCAAAATAAACATCTGGTTTTATCATTATGGAGGCCCATCCTCCTACCTATACAACACAGTGTATTACAAGTTTGAGCATGTAACTGGTTTTAAGGCTCATATAATACCCCTGTGGCATTAAAGTGAAACTCTGGAGGCCATCAATCTTAATAAAACCGCAAGGGAGGATGATTTGAGGAAATCACCGTCATGCCAACGGGAGTACTTCAACTTACCCTGAATTTGTACCTCAACATTATCCAGTTGTACCACAACCAATTCCAAGTAAAACTGTTGCAGGTGTCTATCCGTTAACTGATGCAGGTAACAGGTGTGCTGGCTGATATTGTGCTTTAACATTACACATAAATATTTCTTTAGCGGGAATTGTTTTTAGGGGGTAGTTTCATTAATGGACTTTACTAAAGTAGCTGTGTATGTTACAGAGCCTTTTCTGCCCCGTCTTCATTGAATACATGATGGAACACGTGGAATACTGATTTGACTTGCAGACTTTAAAAGATGTACAAATGAACTTGCAAAACCATCACTGGGAACTTGTTCCTGTTTTTGACTGTGTAAACATTTGTGCGTTGACTATTTTATTATTGCAATTTTAGTTTGCAAATGCAGTTTGTCTGATGTAGGTGTCGCTTGTAAATGACACATTGAGTCTCAATGGAACTACCTGTACAAATAAAGGTAAAAAAAAATAATAATAATAATAAAAATTATCCTAATTACTGACATCATAGAGACACAAAAGTAGAAAAATTGCGCCTGAAACCTAAAAATATAGGTAAACATTAAAGTAACTTTATAGGACTCTCATAAAAGTCACATCACTTTGAAAGTACTAGAATGTGTCATTAAAGGATTCACAAAAAAAAAAATGTTTTAATGGCATATTAAGCTATATTATTACTTGGCACTGACCATCAATGCTAAAGTATGATTAGAATAGGATTTAAAATGTGAGAACTGCGGCCAAACAAGGCTAAAGAAGAAGATCTTATACAGCGTTAACGATGCCAAACTTTAATCCAAAAAGCTCATTGGTCAACGGCTCAGATTGTGGGTCACAAGACCCCTCCACACACACACACACACGGAACAATTGTCAGCACTCCCCGCCCATCCCACTCTCTCCCTTGACTTTGCAGCTCAGCAGGACACATCAAGGTTGCTGAGACTAACCTCTCCATCAGCACCTTCCCACAACATCCACGCACTCGCACACACAACCACATACACTCATGTGGTCCCCGAGGGTTTGGGAAGCCACAGCTCCAGAGCCATCGAGGCACTCGGCGCTAATGCAAATCCTGATAATGAGAACAATGGAAAAGGGGGAACAGTGGTTGGTTTTGCAGAGGTGATAAAAATAATAACCACGGTTCAGGGCCAGGCTAGTCCCAGCCCAACTCCAGTCCTCACTTCCACCTTCCGCACTGGTGCTGCCAGTGCTTCTGTATGGATAAAGAGCTTTGGGCTACCCAGCGGCCCACTAAGCAGCAAGTAGCAAGTGTAAAACTGCTTCCCATACAGTGCCTCCCCTTGCCTTACAAGTTTAAATATAACTGCCTGACCAGTGGCAGCTGCCCCAGCGCAAAGCCCCTAAAGCTGACAACTTCTTTTTCCGCTGGGCTGGGCTGAAGCAGCTTGCCCAAGGGCTGCTGAGGCCAACCTAAACAGGGCCAAGCCGGGGCCAGGGGCAGAGGTGTGAATGCCCACATGTGCTGGTGCCAATCAGGGCTGACGGTTCTCCCTGAGGTGACCCCCCCCCACCCCAGCGCTTTCAACCCTGCGTGCCAGCAGTCCAATATAAAGGAAAAGGCCAAAGGACAGAGTTTGTGCACTCTCCCACATAAAACATGCCACCTTTGGTTTGTGAATGCTGCAAGGTCAACAATCTCAGTATAAACAACATAATTTACCTGCATCTGTAAGAATTTGTGAATAAGGGATATAAAGATAACACTGAAGAAGAGCGAGTGGGGGTTGCATTGAGTATACAGCGACAAACTCGCAGGCAAAACAGGTTGGGCCAGTCTGCCAGAGCGAAGTAAAGCAGAGCCTGCACAGCGCTGACAAGTCCGTCTACTGCGCAGAGGTCACCCTAGAGGACAACTTAACCAAGTGAAACAGGCCTGAGCAAACAAGCTCACAGCATGTCTGTGTGTGTTTGTGTTTGCTTGTGTTTTCTGTGGTATTCAAATTCCACAGCCTAAGAGTAGAATGGACTACAGCCAGAGAGGACCCGAGGTTATTTCAGCCAGCTACACGTCAATGTTTAGGTATAAACTTTCCACCCACATTTAGCCGATTGCGTGTGTGAGTTCCACTTTTGTTTATGTGTGCGCTTGCCTCCTGCTTTCATTAGGTGCCCATGCCGGCCCCGTCAGGTATGTCAGCTGCTCTCCTGCCTGTGAGGAGGGGATTGGGCCCCAGCAGCGCAGGAACCTGGGACCTTTCATTTAAGATGGCGCTGAAAGCTGCCCCCAAGGTGGAAAGATTCCCCATCGGTCAAAATGCTTTCAGGAATGGGACACTGTAGCAGCTGGGGGGAAAAAATAAAAAAATCCCCAACTGCAAACACACACACATTGTTTCACCGGAAAATCTAAGAAAATGTACAGGTACAAATAAAGCAGGCACGCAAGAGTACAATAAAATCAAAGTAGATGTCATTTGTATGCTAATTATTACTCTCTGATTTTGTCAGAGCAGGTGCCGAGCATTGTGACTCTTGTCATTAAGCTTGGCACTGAGGCTCGTTTTATGTGTCAGACTACAACAAGCAACCTGTTTAAACAGCGAATAGTCACCTCCCGCCCACACAGAGTGTCTCTTTTGATATCAGCGGACATCTATTTTAAAAGACACTTTATTCTTCAAAGGATGTTTACTCAGGTTGGCTAAGGAGGGGGTGTATTTATATGTGTGTGCGCACCCACACACGGGTAATGTGTGTCTCATGCTTCAATAGAGTCCCTACAAAGTAAAGGATTAGTGAGTGATTTCAGACCATTCCTAAGGCAAGACCAGGCCCATCCCACTTCAAAATCACACCTGGAATAAGACTACTTTCCCTGAGGATTGGTGAACTTCCTCAAACATCCGCTCAACAGCAATGGTAGTGCATAACCAGAAACATCAGGGCCAAGGTTGGAGTCCCCTTCACAAACTCCGAGAAAATCACTCTGGCAAAGAACAGAGCCAGCATGGCTGAGATGTCTCCATGCGTGTTTCCAATTGACAACATATCACAACTAGGTGCAATATTAGATCACGCTTTAAATAAAGTCCGGAACGACTAGGAAGCTGATGAATAACTGGCATCCCCAATTTCCAGCCCAAAGACAGGCAGATATGTCATTCCTCTGGTGACGGCTCACTTTGGCCACGGATGAAACAGCTGGCTGAAATACTGTTAAGGTGGCAGTATAGAGAGGGGGGTTGTGGGTACAGAGAGTCAGGGGCGCCGCACATTTGTGCTCCTGTGACTGGTGAACGTCACGTCGGCAAAAACATCCAAATGAAAAAAATCACGAGGTCAAAAATGTGCTCCAAGCCCATTCATCACTGTCACATGAAACTGTTTCTTATTTGTCAGTGTATTTCACAAGCGATAACAGGACTTGTACTAATGAATACTTCATTGATTGATATTTCTAAGCAGTTTGGGAAAACTGTTAAAGTTTTCCAGGCCTAAAGCAAATACCTTTAAAAGTGCTTTTTTAAATATAAGACTTTCTTCTCGTGATAGAAAAAAAGGGTCCAAGGAAACCGGAGCCATTTATGCTTGAAAATTACAAAAATGACTAATCATTATAACAGCACATGATATCACAGTTACTAAAGAGATTGGCACATATTAGTCGTGCTTCAAAGCAAAATCATAGAAATGTGGCCCAGCTTTAAAAAAGTGTGGTTTTACATTTGTCTCTCCTAATTTCTGCTGAAGAAAAACTGAAACCCTGTTTGGAGCGAGGGACCAGAACCTAGCAGATAAATGAATTCCAGCAATCTCCAGGAATCTGCCGCTCTGTGCTGAAACCCCACCAAGTCAAACAGAAGTCATTCTTATGGACTGAGGTGAAGGGAAATCCAAACCCACACGTTCCCCTGACTCAAGTCTCTCAAGTCCAACAGCAGATGCATGGGAAGAACTCTACTCCACCAACAAGAGCACGGGGATGGGAAGATGAGGAGAAATGGGGAGAAAGAAGCAAGGAAAAACATGCACAGAACAAGCCAAGAGCAACATAATCATGCAGTTTCTCTCTCCATCAGCAACTTTTAACTTCACGCTGTATATTAAGGAGGTGAAAGTGAGAGTACTAAATCCCCCCGTATAGCTCAGTTCAATACTTTGAGTGTTGCTTTATGAGATAGTCCTTTCTTCAAAAATAGAGTTCGGTTCTACCCAAGTATGTCAAAACCTTGCTTCAGCTTGAGCTGAGGTGAGTACTAAGCAGATATCTCTCCCACGCACCACTGAACTGTGGGAAGACAACCATGCCTCATGAGGGTTGCTGTGAAAGGGGTGGGGATGATGACACAGCCTATCTCATCGCAGTAAAATGAAAATAAACGACTGAAAACCTGAGCTACAGCCAAATGGAAGGTCCCTCCAGACACGGTGCGTACAAAGCTGCAAGCTCAGAGTGGCCGAAACCCTGAGCCCACATGCTTTCTCTCTCTCTCTGTGGGATCTACTGCACACCCAGAGGAATGTGATGACATGAATGAAGAGGTGAGGGCCTCTTCCCACACTGAAGAAGCACCAAACATCGAGGAACATCCTCCTTTTCAAAGTGTGGCCATGTATGACACACTATTGTCAACAATCAATCCGTGTAAAGTTTTGACACTAATGACCTCAACAGTTCAGATTCACCTTAGTGCACTGAGCAGAGGCATGTCACTATGTGCATTAACTGCCTCTTAAAACTTGATTGATGCTCATTTTGCTCTCACTGTTTTGCTGCTTGTCTTAGATCTTTGCAACACAAGTTCAGAGCAGCAAAGTTTAGTCTGTTGGACGTATGCTAACAAGCAAGCTTAGTCCAGGGGTTTGTATGAAAAGCAGTCGTTTTCTTGTGTGTGTGATGTGTTGCCCAACCACAGTGGAAAGAAAAAAAATTAAAGCTGTTCTAAACAACCACAATTGTAAGCGAGGGAAAAAACCTTCCCAGATTATCGAACACTCTCAGGATTTAAATGGGACCTATTGTGCTCCATCTAGAGCTCCATATTTTTATTCTTGAACTTCGCTGGAAAACCAGTGCATGATTTACAGCACAAAAATTATCCTTACTTAGCTCATGTAGGGTCATGATACAACCCCTCCATTCATTGTCAGGCTGAAACGAGCACTTTTGGCTCCATCCTCCTCTAAAGCTGCTTTTCTTTGAATTAGCAGCTCCTTGATGACCATATAAGTCATATCACTTCCTGTGTGTGTAAATAACACACATTCAGGATGAAAAGAGAAGTAGAAAACTACAATATGACTGTTGTACTTACCATATGGATTCCAGTTGAAAACAGACTGGTGGGCTTCACAGCCTGTTTCTGCTGCTCTATCTGGGTCTCAAGCTGGGCAGCGCGAACTTTGTGTTGAGCGAGTAAAAGGGTGGCAGGAAGCTGAGACTGCTCCTGGAGACAAAAAACGCATATAGACTTTGTAAGTATTAATCTGAGTGTGTGAAATGTAACGCAGTAGTTCACTGAATATATCCCACCCATTGCTGGGTCACCATGAGCATGGGCTGCTTTCAGGCCAGCTGCCACAAAACTTTAGTAAGTCATATTAGCAAAACTGTGCCGCTGTCAGGGGACGCCGCTTCAAGTGCACTGCGCCGTCTTCACCTCTATTAAATGCAAGGTCGGACGTTTCAATTTCTTCAGTGGAGTATTGCCAAGCGCATAGATCTAAGAACACAAGCCTGGACACATTGTTCACTGTAGAGGTAGGACATTTTTGATGGGGTGAACTATAAAGGTGGGACAGTCTAGAGCTTTTGGCGCTATTTATCAATATGCCAGTAACAGTTAAATCAGTTTCCATACTATGGGTCCTCTTCTGACCATAAGAACTGATACATTTTACTCAAATGAGTGAAATAAAATGGCAGATAACAAATGTGAATCCAGCGTAGAGTACATGTTGTATTAGGGAACAACAATAATCTAGTGTGTTTCAACTTCCTACTGATGTGTTTTATTGATTAGTTAGCCACTCCGGGAAACGGCAACATGCAGTCTAAATGTATTTGTTGATGTAATGTATGTGAGTGTTCACACATAAGAATAGCAAGCCTAGTGGCCACAGGGCCGTACAGATGTCAGAGCTCAGGAGAGCTCCCCTGGGGGGTGTGAGAGCTGATCTCATCTGCCTACAGTCAACAGGTCCTGTGCCTTAAACAAACAAACACACAGTTTAGCCAGCTATCTGTGATGGTCCTTCAGCAGCCCGCTCTGCCGGAACAATAACTTTCAAAGCCTGCAGCTCAACACAATGGAGCCGATAGGCTTTGGAATCACAGAATGAGAACAATGCAACCTGCAGCACAATGACTGGTAATAAGCTCTTAATGATCTCACATCCACGAACCCTAGAGCAGAGCGCATGCACATCCGACATGGAACATCTGTCATAGTGTAACTCGCTAATTGCATCACTAGATTTGTCATTACACATGCACACGGCCATGCAACATGTGCATCTCACCAGTTCGTCCAGCAGAGCCTGTTTGTTCTTCCTCTTGGCCTGTAGTTGCCTCTGCTCCTCCTGCAGCACCTCCAGTCGCCGCTGCTCATTGCTCTGCTGTTCCAGCAACAGAAGCTCCTCCAGCTCTTCCTGCTCCCGTGTCTGAGGAGGAGAGAGAGTCGGCAAGTTGGAAGAACCTGTCGCTTTATTGACCACGCGGCTGATTCTACACAAGCTGTAGCACCGCCCTGTTGCACTTGATTCTACGCTTTGCCCTCTTAGACAAACAGAGCAGCTGGCTTTAAAATAAAAAAGCCAAGTGTTTATCTTAAATACAAGTGTCATTATTAGGTATTATCCTTTTATGAGGGGGGAAAACCTTCAAAAGTACATACAAGTTTGGCCTTATTTCTCTGGATGACATCTCTGTTCTCTCTCTGGTACTGCTCCATCCTCAGCTTGGTGTTCTCCACGTCAACGTTGTTTGTCAGGTTATACACTGCGTGCAAAAGAACAGCCACTGTTGAACATATCAATCCATCACAACTCACACTGTGGACAGAACCACTGTCTCCAAGTCCACAATACCGTTAATTAAACCCACTATCCAAATCCTCCAAATCATTTAAAACTGTACTCGAAATAACGACAAATTTATTCAACTGAAATGTTGAAATCAACATGCATGTGATATCTTAAACCCAGGGACGATGTAAAGAGGAGCTGAGTAGAAATTATTCATCATGACTTTTTTTCCGTCTCATTGGGCCGTCGAGCCAGCAGATCGCACTTTAACTGGCCCATAAAAAACAAGCCAATTTGATTATTTTATATGTTGCCAGATTAATCTATAACAATATATACTACAATTTATTAACACATTTATATTTCATAATATAATAAAGACCCACTCATATACATGCTGTAGTTGTTGCTGCTAGAAAGAGACAATTTACAAGAAATCTGCCAAATTTAATTATATAGAAGTTTATCTGCATACAGACAGCTTTCATTTTAGCTTCTGCTCAATTTAGCTCCACCCTCGCTGTGTAAAATAAACCAGCGGTGGATGGGAGAAGCATTTAAACTGTTTAAACCTGCAGTTTTCTAATGTGAAAATAAAAGTTGAGAAAAAAAACCTCACAGGTGACTGGACTGGTGGAAACAGCATCACTGGCCCAAATGGTATATCTATTTATTTATTTTAAGAAATACTCCATCAGTTTTATTTGTCTGTTTTTTAAATGGATTTTTACACTGTTTTGCAGCTCTCCTAATACATCCAAGCTACAAGTTTACACTGGCCTGCCAGTGAAGATGTGTGAACATTGCAAGTTCTGTTTCCTAATCTGTGGCCCCGGCTGACACTAATGCCTGTAAAACATCCTCTTGTGCAGCCAGAGTCAAGGAGAAATCATTAAACTAGTCTCAGCATGAAGCTTCCAAGCTCCTACCTAAGTCCTCCACTTGCTCCAGATAATCGTTATATTCTCTCAGGCTGGGGAAGTCAAAATCTCTCTTGTTGTAACTGCAGAGAAACAAGAGAAGTGGTGATGCAAAAAAGTAAAACCTGGTGAGAGCAAATATGCACTGACATTAATAGCTTCCATTAAATCAACCATTTTATAATACCATGTCTGTATCCTGCCTAATAGGCACACATTAGATGTCAATTAGGGGCTATTAAAGAACAGATAACAGGGAAGAGAGAGGAGGCAGGGAGGGGCTGAGAAGTAAAAATCTGGCAGAGAAAGAGCCTTCCCGTTTGAGCACCCCCGGGGAGATGCATTGTCTACAAAACAAACAGTGTAATGAGAAAGACAAAGGTAGCTTAAGAAGTGGGAGGAGGCATGGGATGACACATAAACACCAAGAACCACACCCCTCACCCTCACAGTCCCCCTCACTCACATCTTCAGCACTTTCTTACGAATCTCCACCTCCTTATCTACTGTCGGGTCTTCGAAGAGCTGCACGCGGAAGTTGCTCTTCCTCAAAGGCGTGTCGCACTGCACGCAGTTGCCCGAGCCGCGAACGAACAGCATCTCGACGCAGTTCTCGCATCTGCAACAAAAACAGGCATTAAACGGCAAGCTGAACTGCATTTTTTCCCCCAGAGGTGACCCTCCTTGGGCACCTCTGAGAGTCAGTAGTAAGCATGCTTGTGTGGGCGTATGTGGCAATTTTCCTCGGAATAAAGCAGATTTGTGTTTGTGTGGGTTTTTTTTTAAATCTCTGTAAACCATCAGACACAATAGGTGATAATGGGGCACATGAATATTTCCTCTGAGTGCTCAAAGATGGCTGGGATTATGATTGGAATGTCGATTAGACTGCCTCCCGCTCTCAGAGAGGAGGAAATTAGCCTGACACCCCATCAGCGGAGCGTCTGTCTGCACTGGAAAAACATTTACTTTATTGTTATTTCAACAGGCCTCAGTCATTTAGCCACGTTGCATAATATGATAAAATCCAGCTTGGTAACTCATGGCGTAGTCTATCATTACAGGAAAGGACCGAGTCTTATGTAATTTGGGAAATGCATAGAGATGAACAACAGCAGTATCTTACTTAAGCTGAACTGTCATTTAAACTAAAGCTTTTAATAAATCTGAAATATTTTAAACCTTTTTAAAAACGTATCCAAAAGTCATTCCAACCTTCCCCCACTTTCTTATTATTCCTGACATGGTGCCTAAATGAAAGGAGGCTGCAATGGAATAAACCACAATCTTAAACACCGTGGAAATCTAGGCTGTTACTGATCAAAGTATTTGCTATAAATCTGTTAAACGGCTACGTCTTTCCAAGTCAAAAATATGTAGCAGTACAGCAAAGTCATGATGAGTTTTTCAGGTGGCCTTTAGTTCCCCATATAAGCAACAATGAATCACAGCTCTCTTCGGTAAAGAGCGTGCCTTTAAACAAAAAGAAGAAACTATTTCAGGTTTAAAAAAAAAAAAAAAAAGAAGAAAGAAACACAGGCCAAAACAGGAACTTTGTGCACCCTCACTGGAAACGCCATGGTAACCAATCAGCAGACCTACCTGAGGGCACAATTCTGTGCTTAGCCATCAATCACACCTTTATGCAGGTAGGCGTTTACCCATCAGTCACACTCAAGTGAGTAGTGGACACCGAAGACAATGGGAGTGTTCCTTTATCTCCCCTGATGGGGTGGAGAGCCTGGATAAACGTTTGCACAGTACACTCTTTTAATTAGGTCTCTGTGGAGCTTTATTTCAATAGGAATCCACCTTCCTGCTTGTGACCACCTCAAAAAAGACATCTGGTTTCCAAATAGCACTATCTGCTTTTGAGCATTTACAGTCTTCATAATAAAGTATAACAAAGCTAAAGGGGGAGAAAAAAACCCGACTTCTTTTCGCCACACGTCACTGATGGTATGGTTGAGTCATTTCTTCCCAAAAGTCAAACACTGGGCATGAGGCACTGGTGTCGAGTCAAAAGTTCTCCAGGGATGGAGCCTATTAGAACAATCATGACTGAGCCATCCTGCAAGACGTTTCACTTCATCAGCAGGATTTAAAGCAGAAAAAAAAGCAGTTAAAGGAGAAACTGCAGAGCCGTGGAGTTTGGCTGTTTATACCTAGCGTCTCACATAAGGGTCAAACAAGCCCAACCTGCAGAGTTGTGACACCAAAGCTTTCCAAGCAGCTATACAACAAACTGACGAAGCACCACGGAGGACTGTCTTACAAGCAGTTCAGCTTGGCTTACAAGAAGCAGCAATGTAAAAATGAAAGCTGAACGGCAGACAGAAACATCTGCGCCGTCCAGTTGGTGCTTCGGAGTCTGAAGTGCACCCTGGAAGAGGCAGATGTTCGCTGTGGCCTCAGGCTACAGGAGATCTATAGGCCTGGCCATATGGAGGTAGATGGAAGGATTCAGCTTGTTTCCACAGGCCCACAAAGAGCCCATTCATCAAAATGGGGCAAGGAGTGGGGTGTAGCTTGGCCCCCCGCCCCATAAATGGACCACACAACAGAACTCTCCAAAGGGGAAATCCTGTGTAACTCTAGAGCAAAGAGATGACCGTCTAAAAGGGAGGGAGGAGACTCTTAGAATCAATTTGCTAGCTTTGAGATTGTGAGCCTGTTTCATTTTGCGATCAAAGGAGGATCAAGATTTTTTTTTTTTAGCCAATTCTACGCTCAATTGCAAACATTTAAATGGACAGATCTTTAGCTACTTGCCATCTCTGAGTCTCAAGGCTGTTGTCGCTGACTGAGCGCTCCTGACTCCTCCCTCTCTCACCTGTCCTGCTCGGAGCTCCAGGCTCCTATCTCTCCCATCTGCAGCTGTCAGCAGGTCAGGGAAAGGGGGGTGGTAAGGGGAAGGTAAACAGGGCCCTGGCTCAGCAAAGAGACTCCTCTACCACCACTACCCCCACCATCTCTCAGTGACATTGCCTGCGTCTTTGCTGTGTCACTTTTGAATTAAAGTGCAAAAACAGAAAAGCACGAGACAGCATGAGACTGAGCTTGTTTGCTTGTTACAGTGATCTCTATATTTTTGTTTCCATCTTAGACCAAGGGTCGATTCAAGACCATGTAGAGATGGATTTGTGTAATGGCATTGTGTGAAATCTAAACAATCTGCAAAACCTGCAGCATCACAATCAGAAAATGCCAAAGACCAACACTATGCCTGCTTAAACTAAAAGCTTGCCCCAACCGCACATTAAAGAAAAGCCAAGAACATGTCTAAACTTCACACTGGACGCTTTTTTAAAAAAAATCTGAACGATCGCCAAAATGACTTCTTGCATTGCTGCTGTAGATTATCCTGCAGCATACGATTATAATTGTAATGTTAGCATCACTGTGTCCACTTTCTAAACAGCACTGTGTGCCTCAGCTACAACTGTTTTTGCCTGCCTGTGCCCAGTGTCAAATGCCAAAGGACACGGACCCAGTGTCATTGTGCAAAGGTAATAAATAACCCACATCAAATGCCCCTGGTGACAAGGATACAAAATGTGCTGCGGTGGAGTTTAAATTTAGATGCATGGAGAAGCTTAATAATGCAACCGCTGAAGGCTAGTCAGCGCAGACTGGACGGGCCACTCAAAGAAGAGACAGTCTTACATTTATCTAAATGGAGTCCAAGTATTCTCAGCTGTTTATGATTCATCTAGTATATGTATCTCAGTAAGTCAATTAATCCTTTAATGGACAGTCACTGAAGAAAATGGCTTCACAGAGGCCTGGGTGATATCTTCAAATGACTTGTTTTGTGAAGAATTGGTTGTGTTGTATTAGCATTATCGCTCTGACTAACTGAACTGCTTTGTGCTCTCACTAGTGCTACTTTCTCCTGGTAAACAGGCCGGTGTTTATATATATCCTTCCTATACTTCATGAACATTTAAAGTGCTTTATGCTACCACACACACACACAGCACTTAATTTTACATCTTTAAACCATTTTACCTATCACATACCAAGGACATGCAGACTGGAGACGCTGGGAATCAAACCATTCTCTTCTGCTTATCCTTATCAAGGCTTCGGGGAGGCTGGAGCCCATCCCAGCTACCATAGGGTGAAAGGCAGGGTACACGCAGGACAGGTCGACAATTGTTGGTCTCTACCTTCGGTTTTGTCTTCAGTAACTGAAAAGCATGCTCTACTGGTTTGAGATCAGGTGACTGACTTGGCCATTGAAGTATATCCAGTTTCTATGGCTTGAGAAACTCTTGGGTTGGCTTTGCAATAAGCTTTGGGTCATTATCCATTTGTACTTTGAAGAGCTCTTTGATCAGTATTACAGCATTTGGCTGAATGAGAGCAGAGAGTATAGCTCTGTATGCTTCATTATTCATTGTGCTGCTTCTATCAGCAGTCACGTTGTCAAACACTAGTGACCAGGTTCCACTGGCAGACATACGTGTTCGTCCCATAACACTGCCTCCACCATGCTTGACAGATGATGTGATATGCTTTAGATCAGGAGCTGTTTCACTCTTTCTCCATACTTTTCTCTTTAAATAATTCTGGTATATATTAATTCATCTTAGTTTCATTTATCCAAAGGCTTTTGTTTGTTTGCTTTTGTTAAGCCCCTTGGATTAAAGATGAAAGTCTGAACTTCAACAATATCTTACTTTAAAATATATATGTTGGCGCACAGAGTCAAATACTATATAACCATCTAAAAACTAACCATGTGCATTAACCTCTTAGATTTTCTTTTTCTTATAGTTTTTCTGAAGAGCGTTGTTGATTAAAAATGAGAAAATGGATAACTCTGAAACTGATCAGAGTTACAGATCTTGTAGCATTTCTGTAAGACTTGCTTCAAAAAAAAGGGGATAAAAAGAAAAGAAAAGCCAAAAAGCATCAGTGATGAAAATACTAATATGGTTAGGGAGTGCAGCAGTTTCCAAGTGATGCATAAATTCACCGTCGCACCGGCTCGGAGGAACAGATCCAAGGTGACCCAGGCTAGGACATCTCTCCAAATTGCTTCATTGCAGAATCATTTTAATTTTCTGTGTGTAGTCCTGCATCCAGACAGAGGCAGTGAGTTATGAGCCCGCTGACCTGATGACAAAGCACGACCACTTCCTGATGGCACGGTCAATAAACAGACAGGGTCGAAAAAGATGTGCTCATCAAGCTACCACCGTCGCTGCATAATGCTCATGGAGAACATGTCCCCTTCATTTAAACGTCCATGTTTTTAAAGGGCGGACAAGGTTAAATGCTGAAAAATGCCCAGCGAAGTTTGAAAAAGTATCTACATGATGCTGCTGCACAGAAGTAGCAGAATAAGAACAAATGGAAACATGCTAACTTTTCATCCATTTCTGTATGTTATGCAAATAATAATCATAATCTTCTACTTCTTCCATATGATCCCTTTAGGGGTAGCCACCTCCATCTCACCCTATTCTGTCCCTTTCATCCTCTTCTGTCAAACCAACCCTCCTCCATCACTGTGGCCTCTCTCTTTTCCTCCTGCAAGGTAGCTCCATCTTCAATATCCTTTAACCAACATATCCTCCCTCCAAACCATCTCATCATTGCCTCTTATAATAATAAAATACATTACTTTAGGTTCTGCATTATATTTTCCGTTTAATGCAAAAATGACAAATTCCAAGCTGTGGTTGATCAAATTAAGCCAGACCTGTGACAGAGGTGCAGGCATTCAAATAAAAATGTAGCTTTTAGTTAGGTTGGCAGATTAACATGGAAAAACAGTCAAACTCGAATTTGATTTGCACCTTTGAGCTGGCCCTTTTCAAAAACCTCTGAATAATTCATATTCATTATGTGGTTAAAAACTCAGCACAGGGTGTTTATGCTCCTCATCATTAGTCACTTTTCCCCCTGAAATCCTAAACTTGCTGTACTTTCCACACACACAAAAAAAAGAACACAACTGCAGGGTCTGCTTTTCTACAGAGGTCTCTAAGTTGAGCTGCTTACAGACAGTGTAGGTCATATGTAAACAATGGCCGCTATACTATGTTTACCAGCAGTATTAGCCTAGCTTTGCAATTGTGTAGCTCTATCGGGAAACATAACCCACCTCTAAAGCACACTTTCTGTCTACAATGACACAGCTATTTAACACCAAGACTATAAATATGAGCTAGCACAACAAACCGTCAGCATTCGAGGCTTATCAGTTTTGTTTACGTCCAAGTCCCCCAATTAAGACTAGAGATGTATGTGCGGAAACAGTTTTAAACGCTATATTATAGCTGCTTTTGGGGGGTGCTTTGTGTTTGCGTGTCGTTTTGAGCAGCCTGGAGCAGAAACGCCGCGATGTTGTGGAGGATTTGTGCTCCTCTTTCCTTGTAGCTGTCAGGTGTGAATACTCACAGCGTGTGGCCGCAGACGTTCACCATCAACTTCAGCGACGGGTTTCTGTATTTGGTTGTTTTACATCTCGGACAGCCCTGTTCGTCCATTTCTGTCTGCACCACACTAAAAAATAATGGCAATAACAAAAAGCACTTCGGAAACAAAACAAAACACGTCAACAACCTGCAGCTCTCCTGTCAGATTGCAAGCTGCGAACCGCTGCGTTACACAAAATGAGGTCCGACGGGAAACGGCATTAATAAGATTTGTTCCTATTTAATGATCGCTTTTAGAGGAGAGGTGCAAATTGCTGCTGGCGCACATACATGCAAGAGCTTCTAGGGAGTCCCAGTGGAAGCGAGGTAAAATAAATTAAGTAAATAAATAACTTTAGCTAGTAGTAATAGTAGTAGTAGTAGTAATGGTAGTAGTCGAGTAAATATAACAAAAAAAAAAAACTTGCATATGATCTTGTAAGCCTGAGCAGAAAGATAATTAAAAACAAAAATCAACCCAGACATTGTTTCCCAGGGTTTCTGACATCATATCGTTTCTGGATGATTGTGAATTTGGGAAAACAACTCATAAGTTACATTAAGTTAGTTTTATGAAATCATTGCGAGAAAACGTGAACTTCGGGGGAATTAGTTTGATATTTAAATATTTTTAGTTTTCATTCCTCCCAGTGCTTGAGCTATAATAGTTTATTGACTATATGTGGATGCTAGTAATTGTTAAGACGATCTGAGACTCTTTTACTATAAAAGATTCAATGAAAACATAATTTAAAGTTCAAATATCAGTAATGATGTGGTGTTGGACACCTGTTACCTGATGCTAGACAGATCACCTGATTTGGGAATGAGCTACTCTTGGGAGAAATTTGAGGTCTAGTCCTCATATGATATCTTTGAGGGGATGGGCTACATTTTCATAGGTAGTGTGCTGTTTTTTTCTGACATTACTTTGGTCGCTTATAGTGTTCTGATCCAGTCTTCGGTGGGAGGGGTACATCCTCGCAATAGCCACTTAAAGCAGGATCTGTGCTGAAACTTTATTACCTTCATTCCTGAAATAACAATAAAAACAAATTTAATGTGTGGGTAAATCTAATATCTATTTTTTGTTAACATTTGTTACTTTAAAATTGTCAAAATACATTTAAACTGGCTAAATAAAGTGAGTGACAGTATTCCCATCATTACTTCCGTTTGGATTTCCATACATCGAGATGGAAATAAAACATTCTTTTATGTGCATACCTACAGACAAATGATCTCCTGACAATACAGACAACAAAGATATCCCGTTCCCACGATCACAAAAGCACTCACCTTGCACAGGTGAGCTACGTTAATCTACTGGAAGTTATATGACTGACAGCTGGAAACCAAACATTCGCGTCTGAATCCATGCTTGCTCCTCCCTTACGGGCCCTCGACGGCCAATAGCGAGGCGCTCCTGTAGATAGACCCCACCGTGTCTCCCTCCAGCTCCAGTCCCCGCAGAGTAAAAGTCACGTTGGAAGGAAAAGGGGAGAGAGATATCTACTTACAGCTGCTGTCAGATATCCGATCGCATTCGCATGGCGAGGAGGTAACCTGATCGAGCGGGGAGGAGTGACTTTACCAGGGAAGGCTTGAACCAAAAAAAAAAATGTCTTCTTCTTCTGCCGGAGAAGTCACAACAGCAAATGACATCAAGAGGGAAAATGTGAAGGAGGTGGATACGCGGGAGTGCATCAAGCTTGTGGCGCTGGACGCGGCGGAGTTGCCCATGGAGCGCACGACTCCCAGCACTGACGCGGTGCGCACTGAGCTGTTGGTGAGTGCCGCTTCCTCTCTTGCTTTCTCCCCGGAGCAAGTGGCGTGTGTCTGCGAGGCACTGCAGCAGGGAGGCAATGTGGACCGGCTGGCCAGGTTCCTGTGGTCCCTGCCACAGAGTGACCTGCTACGGGGCAACGAAAGCATCCTGAAAGCTCAAGCCCTCGTAGCTTTCCATCAGGCTCGGTATCAGGAGCTCTACAGTATTTTGGAGAACCACAGTTTTAGTCCGTCCAACCACACCTTTTTGCAAGATCTGTGGTACAAAGCGCGGTACACCGAGGCGGAGAAGGCGCGGGGGAGACCCCTGGGCGCAGTGGACAAGTACCGAATCCGGAGAAAGTATCCTCTCCCCAGGACTATCTGGGACGGCGAGGAGACTGTTTATTGTTTCAAGGAGAGGTCGCGGAACGCACTGAAGGATCTGTATAATCAAAATAGGTACCCGTCTCCAGCGGAGAAAAGAAATCTCGCCAAGATAACCGGACTCTCCTTGACCCAGGTCAGCAACTGGTTCAAAAACAGGAGACAGAGAGACAGAAACCCGTCGGAAGCACAATCAAAAAGGTGAGGCAACAAAAGGAGCACGCCACAGACCTATTCCCGTCACAGATCGCTCATCAAACGGCAATAAAATTACTTCTGAAGGTTATGTGCGTAAAAGGCCCTTTAATTAAAATGAACGCCGATTAACTTTACCAAGTATTTAAAAGTTGTTGTTGTTGTTTTAATGGAAAATCGGCTATATTATGCAGTTCGATTACTGACAATACCGAGTGTATGTCATAATCGTCTTGCCGGCCTCACAAATAAGAACGAACAATTTAAATCATTAACTATTAATAGTTCAGAAACACAAAAATGCATTTGTAAAGGGGTTAGGAGCACGCTTTTAATGTTTTGAAATATGAAGCTGTTGCCATTCAGATCAAGTTTCAAGTGCGTTGGTGCTAAGAGGCATGGAAACCATAAGCAACAAAATACACACTTCAGCGATTAAACTATCAGACGCGGGGAGTGGGCAACTTTAATGAGACGGTTCAAAAGATGACTTGAAAGGTTAATATCTTCTTATCTATTCGTGGTGTGTGTGCGTGTGTTTGAGCGCGCGCGCGCACACACTTGGGGGTGCGTGTGTACCCAGCAGCACATAAATCATTTTCATGATCATGACTTCTTTTTTTTGCCCTCCCCTTCTTCCTTTTGGATCAAGAAAGGATCTCAGAGCTTCCATCAACTCCTGCGCTTCATTTCATAATCCCGCAGACAAACAGACTGACATGTGCACGCTATTCTTTCATGTTTCCCTCTGTGTGAACAAAGATGACGCACACCTGGTGGAGGTGACCCCTCTGTGTCTCTAACCACACACGCGCACGAACGCGCGCGCACACAGAGGCATACACACACCATTGTAGGCTGTCTTAAAATCGCCAGTAAAAAAATAATAATTTCAAAGTTTTTAAATCTTTATAAACCTTGGATTTATTTTTCTTTTTTTCCAATGTTTTTTAAAACTTGTGACACCCTTTTATATTTTCCTGGAAGTGGTGGGTTTAGTGCGTGTGTGTTTGTGTGTGTGTCCCTTAGGGGGGAGTGGGGGTGTGAAGTGGTGCAGCTGTTTTAATCAGTCTTTTAAAAGGGGGCTAGTAAACAAAATGAGGCTGCTAATATAGCTGCTCCTATTCTTTCACTTTGTTATTCTTGGAAAATTAAAAATAAGAATTTTCATTTGAACGTTCCAAATCAGAGGCAAAACAAATAAATAAATACTTGAAGCCATTTGTCCTGTCAGAGGTAGCATTTTGTCACGCCAGAATTTATTGCGCCAAATGGTTGCACGGTTGTTGACGCTGCCTGGTTGTTGTCCATGCAGCTCTCCATGAGGTAAGAGGGCTACACAGACACAGCCTGCCTTCAAAGCTTTGTAATAACCCTGCAATAAATGTGAGTCTGTGTGCTCTGGCTTAAAAGCAAAATGTGGGTGGAAATGAAATGAATTCCATTATACGAGTTTATGGTTTATGGTCTAATTGTGTCGGTGTTTATAGTGTTCTTCCTTCCCAGAAACATACAAATGGTACACAAATTTTCCCTTTTTATTTTCCTCTGTTTTGTTACACACCATTTGTCATCTTTCTCCCTCCTCTTTTGTTTTCTACAGTGAATCAGATGGAAACCACAGCACAGAGGATGAGTCCAGTAAAGGCCAGGAGGAGCTGTCTCCTCGTCCTCTCTCCAATTCTTCAGATGGGGTGATAACCCACGGGAACCTTCCTATTCAAACGGGACCTCTGGACAGTGGGGTGGTCATCCAACAGATCGGGGACATCAAGATGCCTCCTGGATCCAGCAGTGGCGGTCTCTACAATGGAAGTCTAGTGACCAGTAACACGCCCTCTACTGTATTTCACAATGGTGGATCATCTTACCTCCACTCACCTGGAAACATCCTCTTCAATGGGCTCAATTTGGGCATCCAGCCCCTGGCGTTTAACCCTCTGAGACCCTCTGGAGGGGTGCTGCTGGGGGGCTCTGGAGTGGACATGCAGATGCAGACAGGACAGGACAAAGGACTAGGGAATGCTGAGGAGTCCACCCTGCCATATGCATCTTACGCTGGCTGTGTGAATGGGTCAGAGGTGAAGCTGGAAGGGGTTCACACCATGGCTGCCCAGAATGGCGGCTCCTCTGTTCTGACATTCAGCTCCCCATCAGGCGCTCTGCAGCTGGGTGGCTACAGCCTGGTCCAGGTACCAAGTGGAGTCTCTGACAGCGATGGCAGCTCATTACTCAACAGCGACGTAGGTCTTCCTCCCCTGCAGCTCTCTTCTGCCTCCTCTTCTTCAACAATTACACAACAAGGTGGGTTCATGAAGTGATTTGCTGTCTAAGATGATTCAATTTTAATACTTTGATCTTCTTTTTTACCTTTAGAGGTTACGTGGTCCTGTGTAGCTGAAATGTGCATGGAAGAGACTGAGTCAGAATGGACATCATTGATACAAATATAACTATGCTAAGAATAATTGTACTTTAACCATTCTCACTAAGGAAGGAACAATGTCTAATAAGGGAGATAGGTTTAGATAAACATTAGAGCCATCTGCTGTTGATTTTAATAACAGACAGTTATATATGAATCAAACTGTCCTTATATACTTTTAAAGTCAACAAAAGTACAAAAACAGAATCCAATGTTGTATGAGAATGAAGATCTGAATTAAATCTATATCACAGAAATCACAGCTTTATACCACCTTGCATTATAATACGTGATTGTTGCTCTTTCCCCTCCTTAAATGTCCCCAGTGGTTTGTCAACAGGTCTCTACTACACCCACCCAATATATCTGACCTGCTTTATTGGCTTGTCTGTGTTTGGGCCATAGCCCAAGGGGCTGATG